GAGGGTTTATTGACAGTCCACCCTCAGCAGGGAGAGCAGGCCAGCTCAGGTGAGAGAAGCTGTACCAAATTCCTTTGGCAAGCTGGTTATAGGGGGTGTGAAAATGATTGGGCGGAATATTCATTAAGCAGGGAGGGGTTTGAGATTGTATTTCCTGATTTTCCCTCCAGCTCCACCTTCCCCAGGGGAGGGAGGATTTTTGTCCTTATTTGGTTTTGATCAGAAGTGTCATGGCATCACTGCATGATGGTACTTCTTATTTGCAAGGCTAATTTTATTGTAATAAGGGCATGATAAACAAAAGGTTACTTTCAGACACCAGAGATGTCCGGTTTTTCCCATCTTTCTTTGTCTCTAGGACCCCTGTTGCCACAAGATGTTGGTTTCCTGCCACATGGCCCATGCCCCTCACTCTTTATTCTTACCTGGTTAACTGCCTGCTCTCACAGTTTGATCAAAGAATAGAGAGCTGAGAACTCAGGCTGTAGAGTACATACTCTCCCTGAAAGGCTGTGGGTCAGGCAGCTTTACAGGGGTCGTGTCTGCAGGGAAGGGTGGAGTTCTCACAGAGAGAGCACAGCTGTGCTGCTTCTGTTGGCGCCAGATTGCAGCGGTCTCTCCACCTGGCCGGCTACCGCCATCTTGAACTGAGGTGGGGCGCACAGCGCCTCTGCTCGCGGGCCCGGCCCCGCAGAGCTGAGCGGTTCACAGCCGCCTCGCACCAGGAACTCTGGTCTGAAGTGCCGGGTGTGTGGCCTCTGCGCTTGGCCCTCTGTGAGCAAGTGAAACTAGACTAAGCACAAAGGAAAGGAAAAAAAGTTTAGACTTCATTTTATTACCCAGATTCTATTTTTATTTCCCGGGAATTGTTAATGGACTTTGCCAGTCACAAATCCTTCCTCTGTCTTTTGTCCCTGCTCCTCCTTCTTGAAGGGCGCTGGGAGGCCAGGGTCTGTCTTCTGTAACTGCTTCCTGCTGACTTTGGGCATCGTCAGAACCCCGGGCAGAGGAGCAGAACTTCTCCCCAGCTGCCTGTAGATCTGTTTGATTGTCACCAGGCCTCTGCCCTTACAGTCTGTATCCCTGGGCTGTTTGTCTAACCTTTTGGAGACAAAGGACACCAGACAATTTAAGATGCATAGCCCAAATATTAACAAGAGAAAAACGATCACATGTTAAATTTTCCTAAAAATGAAGGTCTCGAGGTCTTTTGCCTGTAGGCAAATGTGTGCCCTGAGGTTGAGGCTCATTGCTGTGGCCTGAATGGTCACACTTTTGTTATTTTTCGGAAGAGAAGGTTCTGATCAGAGAGAAGTTCACATGAGAAGCCAAGGGGGTCTGTTGCCCCAGCTTGTCTCTCTGGAGGTTGGAGCTCGGGGTCCTCTTCACTCAAATGTGATATCCCCATGGAGTGATCCCTGAAACTTCAGGGCAGGATGGGTGGTTAGGATCACTAAGGGGAGTTCGTTCCACTTAGGAGTGAGCTGATTTTGCAGGCTGCCGGTTTTCTAGGTTTTTAGATACACCCAGTCTTTCAGCTGGAAGGGGTGGAGGGAGGACCAGGTCGGTGGGTATGGGCAGCACCAGATTCCATGAGAGCTTTCGTGGTTTCTCATGTCTGGAGAGCATACCTGAGTTGTTCGATTTCAAGGGGGTTAGGGTGTCCCTTCTCTCGGGCTTGGAGAATGCATCTACCATACTTGAGTTCAAATGCCCTTCCATATAGTGATTGGATTCTTTAGAGAAATAAGCAACCACCCAAGGAAGGCGTCCCAGTTTTTGAGTTAATACCCCTAGTGCGATTCCCCCTTCTCTCATGAATGTAAAGATCAAAGCATTTAGCTAAATCTGGGAGTGCCAGGGCAGGGACCTGAAGTAACTGCTTTTTCGGTTCTTGAAAGGCCCCTTCACATTCTTAATTCTATTTAAAAGGACCACTCTTTCCTTTCAACTTTTCATATAGAGGCCTAGCTATTAGACCATAGTTAGGGATCCAGATACAGCAAAACCAGTCCATCCTCAGGAAACCCCTAAGCTGTCTTCCAGTTTTAGGAAAGGTAAGGCTTCTTTCCTTTTCTGGGGTAGGCTTCTCTGATCTTCTGTGAGAATGAAGTTTAGGTAGGTCACCCTAGTTTGTGATATTTGGGCTAAACCTGGGAGGGCAATGTATGTCTGGATTTTATTATTTTTTTAATTTTTAAATTAAAAACTTTTTTTAATTGTTGGGGGGAGGTAATTAGGATGTAATTTATTTTTAGAGGAGATACTGGGGCTTAAACCCAGGACCTTGTGTATGCTAAGCATTTGCTCTACCATTTGAGCTATACCCTCTGTCCTCCCAGGTCTTGGTTTTAGATGGACTATCACAGGACTAGCTCCTACAGCTCATCCCACCCATCCCTGGGCCTTGACCTCTGGATTTACTCCAGGGAGGTCAGCTTGCTCTGTCCACGGATGTTTGTCCTCAGCCATTAACATTATCGTTTTATGCCCCCGTCTAGGGGAAAGCCATTTTCAAGTTTGTCTCCAATTAAGTGGATAGGAGCCCTCAATGTATGTAGGATACTTCTTCCAAGCAGGGGTATAGGGCATTCAGGGACATACAGAAAGGAATGGGTGAGTGTGTATTCATCCAATTTACATTCTAATGGCTCTGCAAATGCCCATTCTTGGGCCTTGCCTGATAGCCCCATAATTTTACAACTCTGGTGACCAAGTTTGCCTGATCAGGTGTTTAGAACCAAGTAAGTGGCACTGGTGTTAGCTAAGAATTTGACAGGCTTTCCCTCTATGTCCAATGTCAGCTGGGTTTCCTTGGGGGTTAATTGGAGTGTCAACTTAGGCCACCTCAGGTCCCATCATTCTTCATCTATTTGGACCATCTACCTTTGAGGGTAGGGGCTAGGATCTGCCATTTCTGTCCTACTTCAGGGGTGGTGAGGACATTCTCTCTTCCAGTGTCCCTCTTGTTTACATATGGTGCACTGGTTGGGTCCTAGTTTCCTTGGCTTGCTATCCCTCAGTGGGAGCCAGGGGTCATTCACTGGAGTTGAATCTCCACGGGCAGTTAGTCCAGGTCCCATGCCAACCAGCTGACACTGGAGGGCAACAACCAGTAAGTGGGCTTACCTCCAGGCCTTACTTTCCTCTGACTTTTCCTCCTCTATATCTTGGTTATTAAATACCTGGAAGGCAACCTCAACCAGGCGAGAGGGAAGGGTATCTGATTCTATTTCCAGTTTCTGAAGTTTACGCCTAATGTCAGGGGCACTTTGGGAAATTGAACACAACCTTAGGATTGCATTCCCTTCCAATGACTCAGGGTCAGTGGTAGTATAGATTCGGAGGTATTCCCTGAGGTGCTCTAGGAAAGTTAAAAGGTTTTCTGTTGGCTCCTGATTGATTTCCTTTATCTTATTCCAATTGACATGTTTCTTTCCTGCTGCCTGAATTCCCTTTAGGATCATATTTTCATTATAGGTCAGCCTCTGTCTTCCACTCCTTCTCCATTGGCTGGAGGTCCCAGTTGGGTTCCTTATCTGAGACTGCTAGATTCCCCGGTCTCCCTCTTGGACTTTGGAAAAGACCATGGCCTTATTTTCCTCTATTAGGAGCATATTGAGGAGTCTCTGGATTTTAGCTCAGGTGGGGTCATGGGTCTGAACGATTCCCCTAATCAGATTCAGGAACCCCTCTGGATCTTCCCTCAACCCTTTACTATGACTTAGCAGTTATACAGATTAGAAGCGGTAAATGGGACCTATACCTGGATGAGCCCTCCGTCTCCATCCGGGACCTGCCTCAAAGGGAATCCTGGTAGGTTGGAGTCCTGACCCTGGTTGGTAGTCACAGCTCACAGGGCTTCCCATCACTGGGGTTTCTGGTCTTACAAACAACTCACAGGGCTCCCCAGCCCACTTCAGAGAAAGTAGTGCTGACTAGAAGAGCTTGGAATTCTGGTCTGAAGTGCTGGGTACAAGGCCTCTGTACGCGGTACCCTCTGAGGAAATGAAACTAGACTAAGCACAAAAGGGAAAAAAAATCAAAAGTTAGACTTATTTTATCACCCCAATTCTATTTTTATTTCCTGGGAATTGTTAATGGACTCTGCCACAGTGACAGTATATGAGCCAGAAGAGCAATTTGAAGCATTGAAGGTCTGCCCTGAAACACGCACAGAGCCCTTTGGAAAAGTCTAGATTATAGGTTCAAGCATTTAAAGCTTTTCTCTGTGTACTCATAAACTGAATCCTAAGCTAACTGAGAAGAAAAGTCTGACGGACAATTAGGTTGTTTCCATATCCTGCCTACTGT